AACATTTGTTGCCCCCCCCCTAGAAGGGTCGAAGGGTCTTCAACTGTGTTAATATGAGCACCAGAATCTCACTGTTGGTTGCAATGCCCCCCAAAACACCTGAGAAGGTTTTTCCACTTGCGAGTAGTCATCTATATTGGTTTGACCATCTGTGGGAACATTGTTGAACTGAACTGGAGTTTCATGCCCCATGTACTCTGCAGGATTTTCCTAAGGTAGGCTAGGAGTGGCTCGTCTTTCTCTGAAGTGACGACAGACTTAAGCTTCCCTAACAGTGGTTGCTCTGACAACAATCATTTGGAAGTCAGGGTACCCTGAAACTCTCTCTGTAGTGGTTCCCATGTGTCTAAAATATGAATTGCTTCCCTATCCTCTTTCATCACCAAACTTGAAACCATTGGTACTTTTTCTTTGGTAAGAGCAACCATAACCTCGAACTCCACAACAGGTAGTAGGATGACGCACTTACCATCCTTGGTGAAGGAGTAGGTGTTCATGTACTTATCTTGCTGAGTCTTGTGATTAAACTGTCACGGTCTTCCTAGTAAAAAGTGACTGGCATTCATTGATACCACATCGCACCAAACTTGATCCTACAACTGGCTCCCAATCGAAAACTTCACGAGACACCCCCTGTAAATGCTGATTTTGTTCTCATTCTTAACCATATCAGAGAGTATGGCTGGGGATGTCTCTGAGTCGTGATGCATAACTTGTCCACCATCGGTGTAGACATCACATTCTTGCTGCTACCTTTATTGATGATGTTGTTGCATACCTTTCCCTTCACAGTGCAACGAGTGTAGAATATATTTTAGTGAAACCATTATTACTCCCTCGTTGCCTCAGTCTGAAAAACTCGTCAAACCATTAGCAACATGCACTCATTTGGTGAAAGTTGATACTTTCATCATTCTCTTCAGTTGCTTCTTCGCTAACTTCCTCCATTGCATCCTGCTTTGTAAAGGATACAACTGGGCTCGTCGGGCAACTGGAGGCGATGAACCCAAATCCATGTCATTTGAAGCATTTTCTGGCTTAGACTGTAGTGGGCGTGCCATGCTTCTCCTAAACAAATCTGCTATAGAGAGAGTTTCAGACCAAATTTGCTACCCGGAGAGAATAAAAAGGTGCTAAGCAAGGCGATAAGGATAGTCATATTTCAAACAAAGCAGTTTTCTCACACATTTCAGACCAAATCTCCTAACCAAATCTGCAACTCGAAAAGTGCTAAGCAAGGCGATGTACCCAAATCCATGCTTCTCACTCTGATTGACTCTATTTTTATCCTAACCAGTTTTCTCATCTCTTTGAATTGTGCTCTTGCTAAAGTCTTCAATTGCAGGTGACTGCCTTAACTGTGGTGGTTGCCCACTCTGCTTTGTTATCTCACTACTTTTAATTGCTAAAGTCCACACGTCCCTCAGTGTCCAATAGGTTTGCAGCTAGACCGCATTACTAACGGTGAGCTTCAGACCTCCCAAATACCTGGCTATGTTGTGCTCCTCTGGCTTTGTCAGATCATATTTCAGCTTGAGCTGCATATAATAAGTTGTGTACTACACTGATAGCTATTTTTACTGCAGGTAGTGGAGTTTCAAGAAATTATCCTGGCGGTAGTGCGGGGGTAGATACTGTCGCTGTATCACCTTCTTATTCTCTCCCAAGAAATGATTCTATAATATACTTTTCTCTATTTCTCTCTTTAGGTTCTCTCACCATAAATAAACATTCTTTTTCGTCTTGATGGCGGCGAGCTTTACTCTTATGTCATCGGACACCTCTTTGTATTCAAAGATCCGCTGAATAACTTGCATCCACTCAAGGAAATCATCTGGATCGATTCTCCTCTTGAAGTCCAATAGGTTCACCTTCATTCCTAGATCTTTGTATCCTTCAATAGACACATAATCTTTGTATCTTTTAGCAGACACCTCATCTTTGTATCTTATAACAGACGCCTCATCTTTGTATCCTCTAACAGGCATGTCACCTTTGTATCTTGCAACAGTCAAAACAGTGTGATCTGATTTGTGGGATGCTAGAAACTCTAGGATAGGATTAAAAGGGCCGCACAGTAGCGACAACGAAGGTGGAGGACCGAAACAACAAGGTTAGCGTGGGGGAAGGGCTTAAAAAAGAAAATCTGCAAGAAAACACCAGAAACGCTGCTGCCTTGGCGGCCTGAAGCGAGGAGAGGTGTGGCAGCGAAGTGGGAGGGACGTGAAAGGATATAGGGAAGACATGCACCACCTGGAGACAGATACAACGTAAGCACCACGTAGAACCCTATGATACAACCCTCTAAGGAAAAAAAGAGATGACGACAGTTGTCCCGTTACAAAACAAACAAAAACTAAACCTAAAATATCATAAATTCAAATATATAGTAATAGGATAACTGGGAGTGACCCAAGAGAACCGACCAACTCCACAACAATGAAAAAATGAGACATGTTCGGTCCAGGTATGAAGTTGAATACCCCTTCTTTCATGGGAGCTCTCACTCGGGATACGCCCCACATCAACATTTGTTGGAATTTGAGTATACTGTATTTGATTGCATCTGAACCTTTTTCTCACACAAGTTTTACTGCCCTAGGGCCATTGAGTAAGCCTGTATTGTGAGCTGTTCTTATTTCTATGCTATTTTATTCAGAATATGATATTTCAACTTCTCTAACTACTTATTTTGGTAGGGGCATGATCGGGCAAATCCTTATTTCGTAGTATCCAAAAAAGTGGATTTTATTTAACCTTTTCCTTGACTTTGGTTGAGAGCTGTTTTTAGTTGTCTTTGTTCTATTGAACAGCTCAAAGTCATGGTGCTTTCTGTCTCTACATATTTTCATTTTTAACCTCTCATAGTAATTGTTTTGTATGTTCTTTCTTGCTTACAAGCCCCAATCATTCTCTTATATGCTATATCAGCAGTCTTGACTGTTTCCAATATTTAATGTTTGGAATGCTAATTAATAATAGGAAGCCTATTCTCATTTCCTAGCGTATTTAAGTTTATTTTGTATTATTATTAAATAGTAGTGAATATCCAGTAGCTGCATGTGCACACTTTGCCTTCAATTTATGCCTTAACCTTAAATCTTCCCACGCCATAGGAAAGGAATGTTGGTCCTGGGTTGGTTGCTAATAAGCTGCATGCTATGAGGTACTTGGTCATCCAGCTAGTGCTGCAGATTCTCCTTTATCCAGATGACTTCTCTGAGGCTGCATTGGATTTTGTGGCATGCTGCAAAAAGGTTTTCCCTTCCACTGAAAACAGTGATTCCTCAGAGGAGGAAGATGCATTTGATGATAATGATATGCCAGAGCTAATGGATGTCTTAGTAGAGACGTTGCTGTCAATCTTACCTCGCTCTTCTGGTCGGATGTGTTATGTTGTTGAACAGGTTTGTTTTTTTGTTACCCCTTATATTGTTAAATAGTCAATTATGATGCTCATTTGTTCTTCTCCAGGTTTTCAGGTTCTTCTGCAGTGATATAACCGATTACGGGCTCCAACGTATGCTGCGTGTTGTGAAGAAAGATCTAAAACCTCTCCGGCATCCTGTTAGTAGTGATGGTGATGATGATGATGATGATGAAGATGATGATGTTCTTGGGATAGAAGACATTGATGAGATGGAGGAAGTTAAGGCTGATGAGATGAGTGTTGGTGAAGAGCATAAAGATGATTCTAAGGAAATGGAGAATGGTGGAGAAACAACTAGTAGTAATGGAGATGAATCAGATGAAGCTGAGGTGGCTGGCGTGGAATGCAAGGAAAACATTCACAGAAGTAGCAGAGATGAGCCTTGTAAAATAGTTAAAGCTGTTGGAGATGAAGATGATGATGCCAAGAGTGAGGCTTCTGACGACTCTGATGGTGGCATGGATGATGATGCTATGTTTCGCCTGGATGCTTACCATGCTCAGTTGCTTAAAGAACGAACTGGAAATGACAACGCCTTCTCCCAGTTGATCTTATTCAAGCTTCGTGTTCTGTCACTGTTGGAGATATATGTACAAAAGTATCCAGGTATACATGTTATTGTTTCCTTGGGTGTGGCATCTTTTGATTTTTAGAGGTTGTCTAGTTAGCTAATTACTTAGATAAGGATCAGTGGAAAGAACGGAGGAATTTCTTTAATATCAGAAGCGTTTCTTCCTCAAATAATTTGTTTAAATATTTGAAAGTTTTCCTTTTTGTTGAGACAATTATTCAATTATTCTGCTTTCATTTTTACAATCTACTAACCAAAAATATGTTGCATGTCCTGGATATCTAAATCAGAGTTATTTAATTTCTATCAGTTTTTTTTTTTTAACTTAGCTAATCTATTGTCCTTTTCTTTCAAACAGGCAAATCCCATGTGCTGGCCATTTACTCTTGCTTAGTACAAGCATATTCAAAATACCATGGCGTGGGTGGAAATGAACAACTTGGACAACGCATTAATGGAATTTTGCAGAAGAAAATAATTAAGGGAAAAGACTATCCAAAAGATGAAGACATCCCACTTGATACTCTTGAGAAACTGTTGGATAAAAGTCTGAAAACAGCTTCACGATCTCGGGTTAAGGATATATCGTCTCTGGCACAGGCCTCTGCATTTTGGCTGCTAAAAATTGTGAACTCTAGAAATTTCTCTGAATTACAACTTAGCAGCATTACACAAATTTTTGAGGGTTTACTTGTAGATTACTTTAATAATAGGAATTGTCGCTTGAAATCTGGGTTCATAAAAGAGATAATTAGGCGGCAACACTGGCTTGGTCTCAAGCTCTTTAGATTCCTTTTAGGCAAATGTGCAACTACAAAATCAGAATTCCGACGAATAGAAGCTGTGGATATGGTGGATTGCATTATAAAGTCAGTGATCCCAAGTAGCAAGGTTGCAAGAGATAAAGAAGCAATCAGTAAATCTTCTAAACTACTGAAAGCACACCTACCTGAGCTGTGCGATTTAATTCAGCAGTTGCTAACCAATTTTCCAGGAAAGCAGTCCCGGCGTGCCGAAGTTAGACGGTTTTGCACCAGGATCTTGCAAGCTGTTTCCATACTTAACCTGAAGAAATCATTTCGTAAGGCCATGAAGCCAGAGGGTATTTCTCTTTGTGAGTTGCATCTTGGAAACACCTTCCTTTCCTTCCAAGCGCTGTGAATGTGAAAGTAAATGCTGAGTCAAGGAATACAGAAAATTCAGAGTGCAACCCAAGCAGTCTGAGAAGAGATAACTTCGGTCATTTGTGATTTTGTCTATTATAGAGCTTGCTTAGCACTTTCCATCAATAATTAAGGATCGTCTCATCCAGGTCTGGTATCGATACCAATGGAGTTGTATGTACTGATCTCTTTACCCCTTTCGGTTGTGATTTAATGCCTTAATTTTTTACTTACACTGAAGTTTGTCCGCTGTATCATAAATATTGTTCTGATTTCTTGCAGATATCAATGTTGCTGAGAGTTTTTGATTTGTTGGCTCTCCCAATGCAGTTAGTTTTCAGTATGGTGGCTCACACTGATTCAAAAGACCTGAATAATGAGTTCTATAGTGTTTGCAAGCGGAAGAGGGAACCTTTAATGTTATAATGCATTCTATTCTTATTTATGTTTCTTTATATGTCGTAGTTACAGAATGGTCAAATCTTTTACTTTTAACGGCCGTTCTGTTTTAAGATTTATTAATTGCTCAGTAAACTTGCTTTAGAGAAAAGATATTCAATTAGCATCCTTTTAAACGAATCATGAATTTGTTTTTCTGATCCTAATACAAACCAGGAAAGTATTTCAGAATTTCTCTTCTATCTTTTTTGTTTATTATTTGTGATCTATAAACACAACAAACCAAATTTCTCCAACCATTGATTGAACTTCATGCGTGAGAGCAGGAAGATGCTTTGGGACTTTCTAACAAATCCAATATATTTACTAATTTTTTCTGCTGATTGATATGCATATTGATTGTTCTTCATGCGTGATCCATTGATATATTCGTGGTTGACTACTTTTTTTGGCTTTAATTGAATGATTTTTAGTTTTGCTTCTCTGTTTTTTATTTATTTGAAAATATATAGGTGCTGAAAAACAACATGTAGTTCTTCTTCAACTCAGAATTATTTGTGCATCATAAGTATTTCTACAGTCAATCGAAGGAATTAAAGAGCATTGTGAGCCCATCCTCTTCATTTTTTTTTAATTTTTGCTCTTTGTAATCTAATATAATACATGCATATATATATATATATATATGTCTTTTAGTGTATAAGTAATCTTATTTTGAATTTTAAATTGTACAAGATTGCTAGTTGAACCATTAAATGTGTAAAAATATCATTTTTTTTGCCACCTTAAGGTAAGTAGTGACTTTTATTAGAAGATAAACATACTTTTTTGTATTAGGGGTGTTATTCTTACTATTTTTACTAGATTTATAATTTTATAAGATTGTTAGTTATGTTCTTACAACTTCGATTTTAATTATTATTTTTTCACTTGTTATGAGCTTCAATTGTTGCTCTTAATAAACCACTTTCCCTCACTTTACTTTTATGAAATGACATGTAAATTTGGATCACATGCCTCTTTGAAGTATAATATTTTTTATACTATACCTGCAAAAAATTTTGTATGCTTGTGTGTGATTGCATGCAGATCGGTGAAACTTTTTGGGATATTGTCCAGACGTGTCGACGGGCATACAAAGTATGATTTTATAGGAAAACGGTGGTTTTATTTGGTTGGTTTTGACTTTTTTGGTTTCATGGTGTTTTTTAAAATCAACTATATAAATATACATTAAAATTGAAAATAAAAAGACTCGATCACATTTGAAATGACTGTCTGTTTCCTTTAATAATTGAGCACATTTTGTTTACAACTCTTTATTGTCTTATTATCCTACATATGCATATAACAATCGTTCCTATTTGTTGTTCATACTAAATGTCTCATTTTTGTCATCATTTATGCTTTAATAATTAGTTGTTTCTTATTGAGTTTGTTTGTCAAACTCACTCATTGATATTTTCGCCTAGCATATTCTATTCAATCAGTAATAGAATCATCTCAGTCGGAGCATACTTTTCAGTTTTAAGTTTCATATTTTGATATTTAGTTATTGTAATTTTCTTTTTTGGTCCGGGTAATTCTCTATTGTCATTTCAGTTTTGATTCAATCACTTTTTTGCTTTTCATTCAACTATATCAATGGACTATTAATTATATATTAAAATTTATAATTATTTATTTATTTATTCTTGTTATTATTTGCATGCAATCTTCATTTTAAAAATATAAAACATGTTTAATTTATTTCATGACGTCTGGCATTGTCAGGGTGTGCCACCTTTTGAACTCAGGTTGTGATAGACAATAAATATGGATCGACTTGTTCAGTCAAGTAGACCCCACAATCTTCTTGTAATAGATCTATCTCAATCGTACTCTTCTTTTCTTGATCGTTAGATATCTTTAAGGACTATACATTTAGGGCTATAAAAAAGTTTATTGTTCAAGAACATTGTGTTCGACTCGCTATGTAACTCGTGTTCGATTCGTACTTCAAAAGAGTCAAACGCATTTTTTTTAGCCCTGTTTAGTTGAATGCGAACAAACATTTATTCGATCGTTTTCGCTTGAATTAATTAAATAATATTTAAAAGTTAAATTAATGAAATCTTGTTATATAATAAATTTGTTTTATAAATATGAAAACTAAATTTTAGATTTTGGATATTTACTTAGAGAATCAAAAGAAAAAAAAAAATTTATGCATAAAATAGTTGGTGCAGGAATAATAATGTGCAATAAAAAATAAAATATAAAAATTTGTGTTATAAAAATTGTATTAAATATAAAAGCTAGTGAAATTGGAAAAATATAAGGTAGTTCAAGGGAGTCTAAGAGAACAATTGGTTACGCTAAAAAAATTACTTTTGGTGATTTTTATAATTGATACGCCACAAACAAATTTTCATTATCCGACACAAATCTCGAAGCTTGACACAAATTTTGCGTTGATATTTTGAGTAACAAACATTCAAATCTTAATAAAACATCATTCAGAGCTCCGATTTCAACAAACTTAGAGTCAAACTGACTGGCTCGATGAGACGAACCTAATGATATAGAAACTAATCCAATTTGAGTCAAATCAAGCCGAGATCAAGTCATTAAACCACTCTTTAAAGATTTCCGGACAAATTATGATGGTCAAATGGATGCCGACACTAGCAAGCCTACACCCGAACCAAGCGTCTCGATAAGACGAACACAACGAGCCCAAAATCACTTAATTGGTATGCCACAAATAAATTTTCATTATCCGACACAAATCTTGAAGCATGACATGAATCTTGCATTGATATTTTGAGTAAGAAACATTCAAATTTTAATAAAACATCATTCAGAGCTGCGATTTCAACAAACTTAAGAGTCAAACTGATTGGCTCGATGAGACAAACCTAATGATATATAAACTAGTCTAATTCGAGTCAAATCAAGCCCAAATCAAGTCATTAAACCACTCTTGAAAGATTTTCGGACAAATTAGGATGGTCAAATGGATGCCGACACTAGCAAGCCTACACCCGAACCAAGCGTCTCGACAAGATGAACACAACGAGCCCAAAATCACTTAATTCATACATCTTTAAGGCACTTAAATGTCCATCAAATGTTGTATGATCGAAAGAAGTTTTCTGGATCATCCGATCAAAATGGTTCATATTCCTGCATTAATTGCACCCAGAACACTATAAATAGACCTCCACCTCTCACATGAGGGAAGACTGAAGCCTAGAGAGAAAGCCTAAGACCTTGAAGAGGAGTTGCAACACATCATAATCGTCTACTGCCCCCAACCGACGTCGTCGACAGCCCCTGACCGTCGTCGCCGTCGACCGCAGCCGACCTCTGTCGGCCACCACTGACCATCGTGACCACCACCAACCGTGCGTCATCTCTCAATGTTATAACTTGGAAAATCTAGTGATCATTTCTCGTTTGTAGGGCAAGAGCTCATAACTACGGTCCATGTGCCAACAATGACCTGTGTGGTCATCAATTCATGCAGATCCTGACTTCAGCCCACCTCAATGACCTACATCGTTCACAGCTATTATAGCTCCCGATTCTGACCCCCGCTGCCTACAGACGTTATCCATACTTGCTCTAACGACTTAAGTGGTCATCGGCTCATGTAGCTCCCGAATTTGCCCCCCTACGACTTACATGTGTCATTCACCCTCGCCTCTACGACCTACATGGCTCAAAGCTCGTGCAGCTCTGGAATCCGACCCCCGCAACCTACGAATGTCGTTCATACTCGTCACTACGTTCTATGTGGTCCACAACTTCCGCAACTGCTTACTACAGTTTCTCTCGTCAATCAATGCTTCTAGAGCAACCATCTACAACACTCACGATGAACTAGTACCTCCACAAAAATTAACAATGACCCTTGCAACCTGCTGTTGCCAAGAACTGCAACCAGATTATAATTATATAACTTTGTAATTTCATCTTCTCTAATTTAGGAGAAGAATGGACTTGTATACTCATCATTCATAGTGGATTACTTCAACTGGGCTAGGTCTCGTAGTTTTTCCCTCTTTCAAGAGTTTTCCACATAAAAAGTTTAGGCGTTCCATTTTGCTTACTTCTCTTCTTTTATCCGTGTGTGTTGAATTCTCGTGTAACACTAAGATGATAATTCATTACTTTACTGCCACAAATTTTCTAGCACGCATCTGTTTGGCGTAGTATGTGGGAAGTGAAGTCCCGTTCGACATTGTCTTCAACTCTAAGACACTGAGTCTCTACTCCCTTTCCCAATGATGTACGTCATCCAACTGGTGAATGAACCTCCTTCACGTCTTGAAGATCATCTCCAAAGCATTCTTTCAGGTTATGGGGAAACCTTCATTACAGTTTCGAAAGGTTGTTCATGTCAACATCTCAGACACGATTGTAGTAGGGTTGTCTTCTCACATCTTATTCAGACACAAAATATTTCACAACTTCTTCCAAGCTGGGGGCAACCTTCACTACAGTCTCGAAAGGTCGTTCATGTTAACTTCCCGGGCACATCTGTGGTGGGGAAGTCATCTCACATTTCATTCAGATTACAAGTCTACGAGAATCACTCCTGTATTGGGGGGGCAATCTTCACCGCAAATAACACTTCCCCAGCGCCTCCTCATCAAATTGAAGTTTTTCTTCAACTAAGTCAAGAAGTTGGTCTCTTCAATGCTCGATACATGAGTTATTTTACAATCTCACATAGAAAACACCCACGCTTAGGCAAAAGATTCAAAAGCATCAACTAACAGGTTGTCAAACATTTTTCTATAATATGACTACAACAATATTTTCAAAAAAACATGTGATCCATTGCGATCTACGCCCAAATCTCAAGAAACGCAGAGCACCTCTGACGTCTCATTATAGGCTTAATCAATCTCAAGGGGGCTTGATTCGATCTCGTCCATTACAGGGTACAATCGACAAGCAAAAGCTTTGACATACAACCTCAGATAGGTCAAAAATCTTTGGTGGATTTCCTTCGACCTCTTCCATAATAGGTTACGGTCGTCAAGCAAAAGCTTCGACCTACAACCTAAGATAGGTCAACCATCCTCAGTGAATTTCACATGACTTTGTTACGGGTTAATACCGTTGAGCATCTTCGGTTATACAACTCAGAATTGGCCTTACATTTTCAATGAATTCTCCTTTCAACCATGCACCTTTGAGTCAATCTCAAAAGGCAAGAACATATAAGAAGCTATCATACCGCTGGAAGACGAGCCCAAGAGGGTCTTCATTGAAAAATGTCAGAATCCTACGAGCCTTAGAATGTACCAATTATAGCTTCTACAAGACGTAGGTCTGAGAGGGCACAACCTACGAAGGCTGAACCACAAAAGGTATTTGATTCTTCATTTTATAAAAAAATTATGTGCTAACTTTAATTGCAGAACTTTGCACAACTAAGAAGTCACAAAAATCGTAGAAGAAACAAAGAAATATATTATCATTTTCTACAAATGCCACATGAGATGATAAAAATATGCTACAAAGACCAACATATAATTGTACAAGAGTTACAACAAATCTGCCATCTTCAAGTAGAGTTGGCACTTCCTCCCCAAAATTTCAGTATTTCTGAAGTTAATCAGGGCGTCTCCAAATATCGCCACCACATAAGCATGAAATTTCTCCCTCAAAGCGCAACATAAAATCTACAACATTTCTTCATCTCCTCTGAAATGTACAACATAAACATGAAAGAAAATCTCGTTGTTTGTCTGCTACGTATGATAGAGACGACTTTCTTCTTTACTGCAACAAGAGAGAAGATTCTGTTGTTTTCCTGCTACTTAGGACGGGGACGAATTTCCTCTTCACAACAACGAGAAAGAAGATCTCGTTATTGCCTGTTACGCAGGGCGAAGACGACTTTACTTTTCACTGTAACTCAGCACCGCAACTATGCACCATAACTCGACACAACATCTATGTGTCACAACTTGACACCGCAACTCTGCACCATAACTCAACATCGCAAATCTGCATTGCAACTCTTCACCGTGATGCATGATGACTTTATTCTTTTTTGGAAATCAAGGGTCTCAGATGATAGTATTGAACTCAACGCGTCGTCACGATGCCCTGCCGCAACGCGTTGCCCGGCGCTCTGTCGCGATGCATCGCCATGATGCAACGCTGCAACGTGTCGCCGTGATGCATGGCCATGATGCAACGCCGCAACGTGTCGCCGTGACTCCCCGCCGCGATGCTCCACCATGATGCACCACTGCAACTTATTGCGTCACCGAGACGCCCCGTCTCATCGCCGCTACTTCCCTTCTCGTCATCGCAAAGCCCTGCCACGACGAGTTGCTGCAACGCCCCTTCCCACCACAACGAGTCACCACGAATCTTCGCCGCAACGCGTTGCCGCGACTCTACCCCACATCTCCCTCTCTACCCTCTCTTTTAGACATATTTATAGGCTCAAAAAGTGTTTTGGTCATTAAATGTTCATTATTATATAAATTTCGAAAGAAATGTAAGCATTAAATGCTCATTAAAAAAATGACATTTCATTTTTTCATAAAAAAAGAGACTTTTCATATTCCCATAAAAAAGAAACTTTTCATGTTCCCATAAAATTTAAAAAAAATAAAAAATACAACTTTGCCTCGACAACTTTAAACTTGAGACAATTGGCTTGAAGCAACAAGACTAACCAAATAAACAGCCATTAAATTCTTCATTGTATATAAAGTTATATTATTCCTACTTACATTTAAAAGATAATAAATTATAATAAATTTATTTAAATGTATGGCTCACAAAAATGAAAAACTTTGGATATCAATATTTTAGAACAACGAAGTTAGACTTGCCCAGAAAATAGAGGAGCAACTGATACGCCACCAACAAATTTTCATTATCCGACACGAATCTCAAGGTAATATTTTTAGCAAGAAAAGTTCAAATCTTGATAAAACATCATCCAGAGCACCGACTTCACTGAACTTATAATCAAACTGACTTACTTGATAAGACGAGTCTAATGATATAAAAACTAATCTGATTCGAGCCAAATCAAGTCCAGATCAAGTCATTAAACCTCTCTTGAAAGATTGTCGGACAAATTTGGAAGATCAAACAGATGTCGACACTAGCAAGCCTACACTAGAATCGAGTGTCTCAACAAGAAAAACTCAATGAGCCTAAGATCACTCAATTCATATATCTTTAAGACACTCAAATGTCCATCAAACGATGTATAATCAAAGGAAGCTCTCTGGGTCGTTCGATTAAAATGATTTATATTCCTGCATTAATTAAATCATGAACACTATAAATAGACCCCCACCCCTCACATGAGGGAGGGCTGAAGCTTAGAGAGAGAGTCTGAGGTCTTGAGATGGAGCTGCAGCTTAACATCGCCGTTGACTACCGTAACCGCCGTCGACCTCCGTCGCCCACCACCAACCGATCATCGTCACTCAATGTTATTATTTAAAAAATCTAGTAATCATTTATCATTTGTGGGGCAAGAGCTCATCACTACAATCCATGTGTCAACAATGACCTACGTGGTCATCAATTCATGCAGCTTCTGACTCCGACCCCCGCAGCCTACGGGCGTCACTAATATTCGCCCCAATGACCTACATGGTTCGCAGCTCTGTAGCTCCCGACTCCTGCCTCCGCCGCCTACTGACGTCATTCATACTCGCTCTAACGACATACGTAGTCATCAGCTCATGCAGCTCCCGACTTTGGCCCCCTATGACCTATTTACATCATTCATACTCTCCTTTAAGGCCTACAGATTTTTCACCTTTCAAGAGTTTTTTATGTAAAAAAACGAGGTGTTTCCTTTTGCTTACATCTCTTCCTTCATGTGTGTGTGTTAAATTCTCGTGTAACACTAAGATGATAATCCATCACTCTACCGCAACAAATTTTCTAGCACACATCAATAATAGATTAGATACGAAAAAAGGTAAAAAATGTATGTATAAATTAACCAAATAAAGAAAAATATAAAGATTTAATTCAAGTTAAGTGCATCAAAGTTGAAAATAAAAATTGTTTTTTTTAGAGGAAGATGAAGTTTTGGAAAATATAATTGACATTAGTTAATATCGTTACTAAATGTTTTGTTTTTCTCGTCACATTAGTAAAAAAAATTGAGGATGCTTTAAAAAACCCAAGGGTAGAAATCAGTAGGTCCTAATGATATCTCTATTGAAGTGTGAAAATACTTAAGAAATTTGGCATTTTCTTGGCTTACTAAACTATTTAATATTATTTTTTAAATAAAAAAAAAAGATGACTAAGGAGTGGAGGAAGAGAATTTTGATCCCATTTTTAAGAATAATGGGGATACACAAGAGTGTGCAAGTCATAGAGGAATTATGTTGATGTGTTATACTTTAAAATTATGAGAAATGATAATTGAACATATGTTAAAACATGATACAAGGATTTCTCATAATCAGTTTGGATCTATGCCAAATAGGTCTGAGATGGAAGTTATACATTTATTGAGAGATTTGATGGAGAAGTACAAAGAGAAAATGAAGGTTCTACATATGATTTTTATTGATTTAGAAAAAGCTTGCGATAAGGTTCCAAGAGAAATTATTTGGAGATTTTTAGAGACGATAGGCGTTTATATGACTAATATTGAAGTCATTAAAGATACTAGAATTATTACTTGCGTTCGAACAGAAGGAGAATTGACCAAGTATTTTCCTATTTCAGTTCAATTACATCAGAGATCAGCTTTAAACCCATATCTTTTTGCTCTAGTTATGGATGCTCTTACTGGACATTTACAGGAGGTTGTACCTTAGTGTATGTTTTTCATTGATGATATCCTTCTTGTGGATAAGATTAGAGAAAGTGTTCAGGAAAAAAACTCAAATTATGGAGGTCTATGTTGGAGTCTAAAGGCATTTGCTTGAGTTGATCTAACTGAATACATGGAGTGTAATTTTAGTGGTTGTAGCTCTAATGACAGAGTCGTAACTTTGGATAATTAAATCATTAAAATGTTTGAATATTTTAGATATATCAGGTATATTATTCAAAGTGATTGTGATATAGATGGGGATGTTATTAGTAGAATTCAAGTTGTTTTATGGAAAAAGTGAATTGGGTCTGATTATATTGCACTTTAAAGAAGTGCCACTTGAGGATTAAGTATTTAAGTATATATATATATATATATGGAGAAGAAAAATTAGAAATAAACGTTATTAAAAAAAATTCGATAAATCGTCACGAGGACGGCAGTGGAGTCGAATGAGCCGACGGCACGTGACAAAACTGGCCGGCATACCAAAAATGGCGGCCTCCTGAATTTCCACATTAAGCTAATTTTATTCCCACCCTTTTTCTCGCACAGTCGAAGCGAAGAAAAATGGAATAGAATAGCAGCTCGGAACCCTACAGATCTTTCGAAGAAGAGTATCGCAGGCGTCTTATTCTTCTGGATTAGGACTTATCGGAGTGTATTTGGCAGCTGTGGATTCTAGTGGCTGCTCATTGTACGGTTCGGATTCACGGAGAGCGGTGTTCATGGAAGGCGGGTTGTTGTCTCGACAGTGTTGGGCTAGGGTATGGTCGAATTGAGGCATTCGTTCTTGCATGCTGGGGAAATTAGAGGTTCTGGTGGCTCAATCTTTGTTTGGGTTTCTAGGGCTTCTGTGGTGCGAGCTGGATAGAAAATGTTCTACTCGCAGTTTATATTGGATAAGAAAGGGCCTTTGGGTACGATATGGATCGCAGCTCATCTCGAGAGGAAGTTGAGGAAGAATCAGGTCGCGGATACTGATATCGGCTTGTCTGTAGGTTGGTATCTTTCAGTTCTGTTAGCTGCTTCGTTTGCTTTGTGATGAATGTGTGTAGAAATTTGTATTAGTTTTTTATTCTTTTTGCAAAAAATGGTAGTTTAGAGGTTCTTTTTGGTAGGGTTGAAGAATAGGTTTAATTCATGCTGCCTGCCGAAGCTAGTGAATGCCAGTGGCTCAATTGGCGGAAGTCGTAAATTTTTCTTTAATCATGTGTTTGTTCAAAATGGTTTCAAAGTGTAAAGCGAAATATGATGTACAAGGTATCATTTTGTATTTCAATGGTAGTTTCTTTGCCACACAATCCATTGCATAAGGTGCCAGCGCAAAATAAAGCGATGCTTTGGCTAAGTAAAAGATTATGATTTGTTTAAATTTTAGGAAAGTTAACCTAGCAACTCTTGTAAAATATTGATTTATCAAATCCAGAGTGTTAAGTTTATAGTTAAATTTGGTTAAATATTGACAAACCCTTTGATGGTCCTTTACAGGATTTAAAGTTTATTTGATAAGACACATCATTAAGCTTAAACAATTAAAAAATCACCTTCAAAAAGCAGCACACATATGTAAATAGAATAATATTCGATAATATGTTATAAGGAATAAATTCAATATTAATACATTATTGGCAACATGTTTGGTAAAAAAACTGCCAAAGCCTCCCTTTCAATTTAAAAAGAATGAAATACTTATTTGTTATGATAAAATTCACAATCAAAGTAGGCATTACAAAGAAATATTTATAAACTAACAAATAGATACAAAAAAAAAAAGAAATAATTTAAGTCTTGTACGAAGTAGCTAGCAAGTTATCCAATTCAATGCCAAGTTTATCTTCAAAACTATCCACATCGCCAACATCAAGAATTGAAAGAAGCAAATTGAACTCCACCAGCTATTCAATTTTGGAAGACGGTTGAGTGGTGCTCATCTGACTTCATGGTGAATCTAAGTATCTTGGCTGGAATAAGAGGAGTAATGGAAAAACAGACTACTGTTAGAGGAGGACAAATAATATAGCCAAGTAAATAATGATAACGAGAAGGGGAAGGGCTAAAAAGTTTCCCACAGTGATAGGAGGAAGGCGGAACTCATGATGAGATGCGAACAAAGCATTAGAGAAGAAAATGGATTAATCGTAGATCCTCTAAATGTTTCTATTAGCAAGCATTCTTGGTTTATTACATCTTTTTGCTAATACTATTTGATAGCCGTTATAATGCTTTGCTTATTGTTTTAGCAACTAATTTAGCAAGAATAATACACCATAGTTAGTTTTAAGATAATGTTCTCGAAGTAAAAATATAATCTCTAATAGAGGCTTATTATAGTTTCATCATTTCGGGTTGTCATGATTCACTTAAGTAGATCACTTCCCGTTGAAGGATTTTTTTCAATGGCTAAAGTTTGCTTCAATTAAGAAAAACTTGTAGACTTAGGGCAGAAGCTTGTGAATGGAACAATTTTTAGTCAAATTTGTCCAGCGAAGGGTTTCATGCTTTATAGATTACATTTTATGGTAACATTTATAGTCTTAGCCTTTGAGGAGCATCGACTATAATTATAATATAGTGGAATCATTACAATTAAGATAACAACTTGGTTGAATGGCACTTATATCATCATGCTAGCTTGAGATTTATTAGTGTGATTGTGCGAAAGCACCTGATATAACATTGATTTTTTGCCAGTTTCGGTCAAAATTAAAATCAACATTACTGGCAAAACGATTTTTTGCCAGTAATGAGATCTGAGAGGTCTTTTCATAATATTATCTTATCCAATTATGAGATTTTTTAACAGAGCTCCTCATTGGGGAATAACTCAGGGCAATTTACTTAATTAAACGTACGAAGCATAGATTTGTTTGAAATCTATATTGTTTTAATTTGCAATAGTTATGCTATCATAGGGGTGAAGGCATGCTTATTTTTAGCATTTTTATGATGATTTTGATTATTGGAACTTTGCGGGTTCCACTATGTACTCATTGAGGGTTGAAACTAGAGTTATGCCTAGTTATTGAACGTATCACTTGTCAAGGATTAGGCTCAGAGTGTTCTATAATCTTTATTTTATCATATAGATAATTGTTGGCATGCACACCTTGTCAACCCCTTAATTGTCATGTGAAGGATTGGGCCTAAAGATTGTTATACACAACCCTTTTCTATCAGCAAGGTTACCAAGGTTGTTTTCTTTTCTAAAAGTTTAAAGCAAAATTAAGCTGGAGAAAACTTATACATGAATGCTTTTCACATGAAGAGAAATTATTAAAATTTTAAAAAATCAATTAATTAAAATTTAATATTTGAATTTTAAAATTTAAACGTGAATATAATTTCAAAATCTTTTAATCATAGACTTTCTTCAATTATTCATGTGGAATGAATTTCTTTTGGTCCATTATTTGAATTGTGTGATGGCGCCATCGTGGCTTTTACCCTCATATTGAACTTTTGATTTTGGTCTGGCACCAGGGCCATAGTAATTTACTATTTGATGTTTTTCATAAAGTGTTATTGTGTTGCTTGGTTTTATTTTTTTGAAATTTACATTCTCACCATAACTAATAAAATTGTTATTTGATTCTAAATATAATAAGTTGAAACTTATATTATTTGATCAAATTTGAGTGATTTTTTTGAAACTAATAAGTTTTAATCTTTTTGGTTTATTAAATGGAACCCATAAAAATATCTCAAGTTTGTGTTTTAGTTGGATTTGAATTTTTTTGAGCGTAATGCCAAATGTCTGATCAGAGTTTATTCAATTATGAGGTTGAGGCTTCTTACAAGTGTAAATCCTCATTATGAAATACGCTCCTCCCACATAAGAGAGCACTTTTAATTAAGGAAATTTCATAGGCTCAAATTTAGCCCTAAAGCTTGTTGTTAGTTGTGTATTTAATGGAGTTATGAATGACAAAGGAAATAGAGATACAATCATACAGATTCTTAGGTTTGATCATCTTGTGTTCAACCAACTATGCCACAATCAAACGGAGTGTAAATAGAGAAATTAACAAACATTTGTATCTCCGCTAAGTTTTTGGTTGTAGATTAGATGGATGTATGCATCAAATACGTGCTTTTGAGATTACCATCAACTTGTTCATTAGCAGAGGGGTTATCATATAAATTTTAGTAAATAGTTTAGAGGCATGCATCATGGTTGCCTGTGCTTTAGAGGTATTGGACATTACCAGCTCAAAGGCATAACGTGGTTATTAGTTGCTCAAATGTTCCAATTTAACTCAAAGAAACCTGCTTAATGTACGTGCATGGTTTTTTTGTGGGTTTTGTTTTGATTAAGTGGCTTATTGTTATGGGATCCAACCAAAGATTCATTGGGGTCTACTTCATTAGGAAGGGGTGAGAATTAACTTGCTTTATTTTCCTTACTTGCTTTGTTTAGGCTTAGATTAATCATATTAGAGCTTATAACCCTTGGAAGGCCTATAACTGGGATTTATAACCTCAACGATGAGAAAAGCCTGCTAATGGTTCTTATAGCTTTACCCAATGATTGAGCTGACCCAATTAATCGATTTTATTAGTTTTTTTGATACTATGTTAACCTGATAATTGGGATGAGAATTATATCCATTAGAAGCTTTGTAAGTGGGATTTCCAACCTCGAGGGGCGATAAAAATCTATGAAGGAATTTTGATTTGAACTATCATTTTGAACTTTGACAGGAGTTTTAAGGCTTGCGACTCTACTCATTAGAGACATTTAGTGGATTATTATAACCTTAGGTTTTAAGATGAGCCTAACTTATTTTGGTGCTCCAACTTTGGAATGAGTACGAGAATGGGTTTGTTGCTCTTACTCTATAAACAGCATCTAGATTGTACCTGATCCGAGAGCTCTCAATCTAGGAATTTTGCTACTCTGGATCGAGTACTGTGATATTGCAACTTCTGCGATCACGATGAAGCCCAACTGAGCTTATTTCAATTAACAAGATTTTGTACCTTTTATGGCTTATTTCCTATTTTTTTTCTTTTTTCTTAATAGGGTTTTTGTTTGAGGGACTATTGATATATTAGATTTTTTATTTTAGGAAAATTTTTGCTATTATTATTGTGTTTGGAGATTTTTATTTTATGTATTGTACTCTCTCGAGTGATGTATCCTTTGTCTCTTATAAGTGACTTATTTGTATCTTGCGTTGATCTCATTTTTGGTGAGTTCTTTATCTCTTTTTAGAGCCTAGGATTTAGCCTTAGGTTTCCTATCGACTCTCTTAGAAGACTAGCTTGGGACTCGCACCAACTTGAAATTCGAGCCATTTCTTGACTCATCGCAGTTTCATATGGTCGGTTCTAAATCCTCAACGCTTAGTTGAGTTGATTAAAACCAGCGTGACGAAGCTTGAGTCGAGTACCCATAGGATCTAAAGGCTTAGGAAACTCTCTGTGTTGTTCGCGCACACTCACGATGCACGAATACCACAATTCACGCGTCGATGCACACAATTATCGAAATTCATATCATTTGCATCTGTAGAAGGCTTCACAATTGATCAAACTCGAATCAATTGCTGGACCGATCGATCACGAGCTATAATTTTAAGAAAATTTAAATTTGATGCTTTTTCGACCCGACCATCGATGAAGTCGTCCGGGCGACCCCAGACGAGACAACGGACCGCGCCGGCGCGTCTCGGACGTCAAATTTAGCTAGAGAGGACACCCGTTTTTGATGTGACCTCGTGCACGAGTGGAGGTGTGCGAATCAGGGAAATCTTGAATATCTTATATTATATAATTTATATATTTATATTAATATAAAGATATGAGATAGGTTGGCTGGGGATTTTATTTTCTCTAAATCCCTGGCTTGCGACAACTCTTCGACCCGTCTCTCCCTTCCCCGTGCCTAGACCCAAATCGAGCCCTACCTTGCTGCTGCCCTTAGTTCCTGCTCGTGTGACGAGGAGGACTTCGTTTCTCTCGAGATCCTCTGCCTGAGTTGCGGCTTCTCGAAACT